CCTCCTCCTTGTCCTTGTTGAGCTCAGCTACCCTTTGAAAAGCTTTGTGCTCCAGTGACCACTTTAAACTTTCTATTGACAAAATAAAGCTGGACTCCTAATTTATTTTTCCAACAGAAGGTGTGAGTTGAAAGTGGTCATTGGCCCAAAAACCTTTCTTGAAGGCGAAGTTGATTTTATGGGAAGGGGGAGTGATGTCTGGTTTCCTTTTCTCTGTCCTTCAATTGCCACCTCCCAGTCCCAAGCAAACTGCAGTTCCTACATCCTTCCCTGAAAACTCCCTTTTCCAACCTCACAGCAGCAAGGTTTCCCTGTTTGGCAGCCATTTGCTGCAGCAAGGAAAGGTAGGCCAGGAAATTGTATTTGAGTCCCCAGCTCAAATTGGTTTGTGAATCCAAATTCTGTCTTTTAAAACTGTGGGAAGACTGAGATTTGCAATGAAGTAAATGAGTGAATGGGATGAGGGAAAGCATGTACAGCCAACTAAGTTAATAAATTGAACCATTCTCTTTGCTTCCTATTTTGCTTCTTTGCACTTATGTGTAGCTTAAAAATACATGCAAGCACATATGCAGACCATTTAATGTGAAAAAAAGAAAGGGAAATATCTCTTTGTTTTGGAAATTTAAACAGATTGGTACATCTGTAGCACCCAGAAGCCACAAGCATTATCAAAATGCATTTTTCTACTACAGGGTCTTGCTTTTCTGCAGTACCCAATACTGCATTTAAATGCAAACCCTGTAATGAATTACTAGGTTTAGGAGTAAGTGGATAGCATTTTACACAGTCAGGACTTCCTGTAAAAGTCTCAAGAGATCCCCTATTACCATCTCCATAACCACTCCTAATCACAAATCATAATCTGAACAATCATAGGTGATACTGGCTATTCTAAGGAGTTTTGTTTCTCAATACCTCTCTGGATTTATAAACCATTCTTTTGTCAGCACCTGCCTCTTTTCTTGCCAAAGGTAATAAAGGAGCTTGAAGCTCACAAATTACATTTTCTGTGCTGTTCAAAGGTTTTGTATTTTTATTTAGAAATATCTGGAAGAAATTCCATTTGGAGGGAAGTCCCATCCCTTAAGCCCTATGGTAACCCTATGCTCTGAACACCTAAAGCAGAGACATTGTGCTGGCTCTTAGCAGCTAGGGTGAATCTCATTTTTATGGAATATGATGCAGGTACTACAAAGATATAGCTGAAAGTGCTGGGTTAAAAGCACAAGGCAGCTAGGTGCATAAATATTACATGGCTATATCTTTAACGGGTTCCTGTCATAGGCTTGCTTTTGTTTAAAGATTTTCATAACCCTGCTGATTTATTGCATCTTTTCTAGAAGTATGCTGTTAGCAGGAAACTCAGTTGAAGCACTTTCAATCATGTTGGAGGATCATTATACTTTCACTTGAATAACTAATTAGTTGCAAGAAATTAACCACTGCTGTTTAGCACAAAAACACTTTCAAGAAGGGCATTCATTTTTGTTGTGGAAAATGACCTCAGGCATTCGAGGAGGTGGGGCAGAAAGGAGAAATAATGATCCTGCTGTCTTTTAATGTAAGTTTTGTTTTCAGTTCCACCTGATAACTAGCAGGCAGCATGGCTGTCTGAATAGGGCACTCCACTTGGACTTTGGATAAATGTGTTCTGATCTTTCTGATCCCATGGGTCTGACAGCTGACCTCAACCTATTGATTGAGACTGGTTTAGGGTTCCAAAAGCTGTCACTGAAGGCTTGGAGTACAAGACTGAGGAAGAAATAAATTAGTGAAGAGGATGGAAGGAATAATAGAATATTGCCAAAGAAAGGATATAACCAGTCTCATGGTTTCTGAAACTTAATTTTCTTGTTGTGAAATGTAGATTTTTTTTCTTGGACATGAGGGTCTTGTCTTGAGCCCAGTATTATTGTCACATGGTGACAGCACTGGTAATCTAATTTCAATACAGTGAGGTGAGGAAGGAGAACAAACAACTCAAATACTTAGTTATGAAGTAAAAACTGGGAGGAATTTGAAGACAAATGATTTCTGACATCTAGATTCTTCTCTAGTATAAAATTCATTTAACAAGCCAATTAAATGTAGCAGATACTAGACACTTTTTTTGTCTAGAACTGCAATTTTGCAGTTTTTATTGGAGAAATACATATATACATATATATTTATAAAATTGATTTTAAATTATAAAATAAGAGCACAACAGGATGCACATAGAAATCAGTTACCTCCTTTCAGTCTTCTCTGTCTAGGAGGAGAATTCATCAGGTATTTCATAAAAACAAGAAGTATTGGGCAGTAAGGTAAATTTATAATTTATCCTCATAAAAATAAGGAGGAAGGAGGGAGTTTATTGGTATTTTTTGCTCTCCTCTTTCTTCTCTCTAAGCACACTTGCAAGATTAGAAAGTTGTCTTTGATATGTGTATCTGAGATGTGATATGAAAATGCTGGGAATTATTCAGCGCAAAAAGGGAGTGGGCTGCTCATGACAAACTCCACCTGAATATAAAATATAAAGGTTCCTATAATGTTTTTAACACTTTTACTGTCTCCTCTGTTCTTTGCTGTCTTTCCAATCCTTAAGCACCTATTTTGGGTACCTGAATGTCAGGATCAGAATCTCAGGTCTTTATGATTGTATTAGGCTACCTGCATAATGTGTCTTCTGAAAATAATTACATAAACACAGTACATTCTGGTGGCTATGGGTTTGACTTTTTTTTTTTTTTTCAATATATTTGCAACTTTTGGTACATGAGAATGCAGGAGACTGAGGTTTGCATATGTGCATATCAGAAAATCTAACTTTTTGCTTTCTAGAGAATTCCCTACCAGGCTTTTTAAAACAATACATTAACCTGAAATTGCATGCAGAGCATTTCAAAAGGACCAAGAGACTTTAAAAATTCTCTTTCCTTGATACTCAGGGGAATTGCTGCTGAAAACCCAGAGCTTTTCTTCTGTGCATTACTGAAGATTGAAATCTGAGTGTAAGGATATCACAGAAATCTGTTAAATTTCTTGCGCAGTTTGTCTCTCAAGTGAATACCATGAAATAGCCCGTGATACTTTAGTTCTAGACATAGTGAGAGTTTGGTGCTAACACCAAGGCTGTGGGTTCAATCTGCTATCAGTTGTTCACTCAAGTGGGACTTGATGATCCCTTCCAACCCAGAATATTCTGAGATGAAAAAACTCATTCTTTGTAGTAATTACAGTTGAGTAACATAGAACTGAATATAAACCCATTAAGAGACCATCCAAGTCAGATGTTAATGATACATGTCTCAATTTCCCTTTTTCCTCTAAGAACATGTTCTCTGCTTTGTTCTCATTACCTCATTTTGCTTTGCTTGCTCTTTCATTTTGATCTGTAACTGTTCAGTGAGTATAAAGCATCTTCAAATAATAGGTGCTGACTTTGAGGGTGGTTTCAAATTTTGGTTTAGACTCCTGCCTGTGGTTCAGATCGGATGCATTTGAGTTCTTAGATCTAAATCTTGAAATTCCTTCCCACTAGGATATTCTTATTCATGCCACAACAAATTCTGACTTACTAATCTTCTGTCATCACATGTCCCTATGTCATGGAAAATATATGGTCCTTCTTAGTCTTGTGTAATCAAAAGTATTGGAAAATGTGGAGTGTAAAAAACCTGCATATCTAGGGAGAAGAGAACATAAGACACTTCAATAAATAAAAATTAAATGAAATACATTAAAATGTAAATGAAATACATTAAAACACATAGGTAGCTATGCCTACTTTGCATTTACACTTTAGTTATTGGATGATATCACAAAACCAGAGCTGATCAACATGAATGAATCAACAGCAGAATAGCCCTAGACCTCTTTACTGAGAAACTGCCTTAACAAAATTTGCTACGACCCTGAGGAAAAGAAATATTACTTTAAGTGGATTATAGGAAAAAGCATGTAACTATGTTCCACTTTTTCCATCTAAGAGACTTCTATGTATTACTTGTGTGTAAATGCAGCTAATTTTCTATTTTCAGTAGCTGTGGTCACATGCAGTTGAAAAGACGAAGTGAGAAAGTGGGTTGGGTTTGTCATGCATTTGAGAATCCTTGCTTTCATTGGGCCTATGCCAAATAAACCAAATGTGTAGGGATTAGCTCCTAATGCTCATTACAGGTGATTTCAGGCAAATGGAAAGAAAGTTATACTGTGGGAATTGGAAAAAAGTTCTGAATTGAAGAAACTGTGCTTTCTTGTCTGGTATAGTCCAGAAAGATTTTTTTTCTTTTTACCTTTTTTTTCTTTGCCATTTTCTCCTCTAGTGAGGATATAAACCAACCTATTTGTCTTCCTTTCTGGTTTACCAACATATGAGTCTGTTAACATATCGTCACGTCGACAAGTAAATACGTTTCTGCAAAATTTTACAGAGCACAAGCATCCAAAGGCTGTATATCTCATCAGTTAATGAATTTTGACATTCAGTGCAAAACATGGCTGCTTTTCTCAAATGGGCAGCAGTTCTCCATACAGAGCTGGTGTAGGTGGATTGAAGTTTCTAGCATTCAAAACCCCTTAAGTGCAGTGAATGAGTATAAATCTTTACAGTTACAAATTCGAATTTTGCAGTTCTTGAGTGGAATTATGAAGAGTTCCAGTGGTCAAAACAAATCTGTTCTTTCCAGATTATACCATGTTTCATGTAAATGAACAATTAATAGTTTTACTTGCATTATGGCTTGTGTCTAATACTTTCATATATATTATAGATATTTGGCAGAGTTGAATAGTCAGAAGCTGAATGATGAACACAGCCTGCATTCTCTTGGCTGTGATATTCAGCCCTGGATTTTTACCTCACAATCTTTATTTGGAGGAAAAGAAATAAATAAAAATAGTAGGTCTTAAGCCCCAGAACTACTTTATTTCTTATTCTTTCCTGTGCTGTCTTGAGCCTTTGTATAGCACTAGTATCAACCATTCAATCAGTGGCTTTGAAAAGCACCTACCAGGCTGCCAGATTCCTCTTGTAGAGAAGCTAGATGGTGCCAGAAATCAGTCACTCTGTGCTAAATATTGCTGCTGGCTCCACTCCCCGTCTCTCAGAGTCGGTAGAAGTCTAATCTTCTGTTCTTCAGTGAAAAGATGGCAGGATGTAAAAATGCCATGTGAAGTTGCTGTTATGTAACAAATGTTTAGCCATCCTGCATGGTTAAGGAGTTAAATTGGTCTCTGGTCTCAAAGTGTGGGTATCTTCTATTACATGGAATGCTTCTGTGCTTAGCTGATATGGTATTTGTCATTTAGTTCTTCACTTGCCAGACCTTTTGCTCTGTGAATTTAGAAATTTCTCTGTTTTAAGAAACTGGTTTGCTTGCAGTCAAGTCTAAGTACCGATATCACACAGCCTTGCATGTGCGCAGAACACTCCCCAGCAGAGTTCCTATAAAGCAGTTCAGCTACCCCCAGCATCCACCAGTCAGATGATGTTTGTGCACACTTGCCATGCTGAGAATTAAAATAGTGTAATATTAAAATTAAACTTTGAAAAAGCAGTGCTGATGGTGAACATGAAAACAAATTAATTCATAATTGCGTATGTATCTTCATGGCATTTCCAGTTTCTGTAGAATCCAGGCACCTTCCTAAAAATGCTCAGAGTAAATTGTTTGTATAAGAAGAAATAGAATTAATTTTTCCATCACACTTCAAATATGCAGATAAATGCAGTAGGCATTTAAAACAATCATAACAAAATTCGCCTAGTGTAAGACTGATCAAGCTACTGTATTTCTGTTAAATGTGTTCCACAGCTAGGTTAACGTGCTTAATTAGCACACATTACTAAAATACAAAATCTGAATTCTCATAACAGCCCATTCAGTGTTTATCTCACCAGGGAGGAGCCTAAAGTCACTGGCCACAGAATATCTCCCAGACAACTTCTCTGTTGCTTCGGCCAGGCTGGAGCTGAGACCCCCTCTGCAGAAGTGCCTCGCTGGCATCATTTTAGCGTGTCTTGCACAGCAGGCTGACAGTGTGTACAGGTCCCTTTCCCTCTGCTTTCTGCTCCTCTCAGGAGGCATCAGAGCAAATCCTGAAATGAGGGAAGATGGTGTCTCAATTACTGCGTGTATCCTTTACTGTCAAATCAACGTTTAAATTGCTCTTTGCTTCTTCAGGAAACATTTGGGAGTATCCCTCAATCACAACGTCTTCTTGTAGCTGGGGGTGGGTTTACGTTTGAAATCCAAGGTCTGTGCCCTGGCTGGGTGAGCAGTTTCTTCAGAAAGAGGCAGTACAAGTGCCTGCTCCTTGGCCAGTTGGCAGAGAAGAGTTTTCAAGGCCAAATTCCAGGAGAGTTTCTAGCCGTATTGTTAAATGACCAGCAAAAATTTAAAGGCTGCAGTTCTAGCCCTGTGGCTCTCATTATTCACCCCATATAGTTCAGGGGGACTATATTCAACCTGCAGACTTCTGAGAGCATTTTTATGTGTGCAGTTCTTTAGGCAGCTCTATGTATTTCCCAGATATAAATCTCTATGGATATTTTGGGTATCGATACTTGGAAGATAAGTGCAGCATTTAGCTGAACTGTAAGTTCAGACCTCTATTTGCTCTAACCTATTTTCAGGACTCTTCCCCTTTGCCTTCTAATTAGGAAATGGCTGCAATGATTGTGGGTTATAGTTGACTCCTCTTGTCCTTAACTAAGAAGCTAATGTATTCTTTGCTGGGTGTTCTGCTTTCCTCATAGGTCTAAGTTGATATTGCTCCTTCTGCTGAAGTGACAGCTCCTGGGTGATGTGTGATAGATACTGCACAGCCAAGAAATCTGCATGCAGAATGTGTTTTCTCCAGCTCCATAGTTTTCTAGGAAGAGGTTTAGCAGGTAAACCAGAGCCCCAAAGTCTGTTTCAATTATCAAAAAGCTTAGCTTCGACTGCTAATTCTAGAAATATAAATGTATGAACCCAGTATTTATGCATATGACTTCGATAGCTAAAAATGTTAGCATATGAAGTTGAGGGTCTGAAAAGGATTTTTAGAATGCAAATTAACTTTTTGCTAAATCTTACACTTAAATTTAAACATGAGACTATAAAAGAAAATAATATGTAGCAAACTCTAGGCTTTATTACTCTTGTCAACAAGACAGACAAAACCAGAAAGCTTGTTATATCTTATAAGCTCTTTCCTGGAGATAAAATGTTGGAAAACAGCTCTGAGAGAAATTTCTTGTTTAAAGATTATTAATATGGAGAATTACTAGTGGGAGCAACCTATAACCTTTTAGGCAGTTTTTTTTCCTTTGGTAACCTTTATTTTGGATGCTATGATTTACCTTCAGTATAAGAGAGTTTTAGCCTTTCCTATTTGCAAAGCTGCACCTTAGAAAGTGCTATGCAGTTTTCTTCTATGCTATGTATGCCTACTCAAGCTGGTCTAATAAAGCAGTACTTTCCTTTTCAGGTGGGGATTTCCTATGGTATTTTCCTTTTAAATTGACTCTGGAAGAAGTGAACTGAGTTTTGAGCTTCCTTACTCATGTTTGACTGCTTTATGACTGAAACTTTATGCTGATTTTTGTTTATTGTTCAGAAGATCAGGTTAGTTACTCTTTAAATGCCTTTTGGGCATACTTGGAAAAACTACTTGTATAGATGTGCTATAGTATGAATCTTGCTCACTTTAATTCATTACTTTGAGACAAGTAGAACAAAGGTTGCTTATGTAAAATGAGAGCACAGAAACATGGCAAACATGCCTATTCTTGTGAGAGGTGTGGTATGTAATAGTTTATGATGAGGTGCATATGAAGAGTTATTATGACTAAAAAGATGCTGCCTAATACACAGGTCTGGTAGAACTGTTCTACTGCTGGTAGCAGAAGCATCTTCTACTGCTTCTGATTGTATTTTTTCCCCTTTACTTTCCTGCTTCTCCCACCACTTCACCACTGTTCTCCATTTTCCCTTCATGACAGAGGAAGTTTATAGGGGAAAACCGGCTGGCAACAGAAGTGTGCTTCCAGCTGGACTCTAAAGATAAAACTCAAAAACATGTTGCAAAAATGCACTGGAAAAAGGGAAATAATAGCCTTGGAAGCTCTCTTTCTGTTGTGAACCGTGGCAGCTGGACAGTTGCATTGCAAGAGGTTATGTGTCTGTGGCTTACTAGTTGGTAATTATAAACTGAAGATAATTCAGTGTATTATTCATATAATTTTTTGTTAAAATTTTCATAGATCTTCACTTGTGATTCTGTTTAGGTCTGGCATTTTCACTGTACTGGTCTTTGCATAGTTTCCTGCTTTTCTTATGTTAGGGAAAATTATGATCAGAAAGCTTTTCCTATATTAGGTGATAATATGTTTTTTCAGGACCAGAATGCAGGGATAGATGCTTCTGTGGGTTTGGAAAGTCTCTTTTCTTTTGGAATTGGTTTTGGTTTCTTTGCTTTTCAAGTATTTTCTCCATATTTCTTCAACTCAAAGACACTTAATAATGAAAACTGATAATGTTTCATCTGCTAGGTATGTGATTAAAAATGTTTGTCCAAACCTGCAGCCTAAAAAGAGGTGTCTGGATGAGCTCAGCAAAACAGTTCCCAGATTATGCAAATTCATATTCACTCCAGAGGGTATAATCTGATTAAAAAGTAATTAATTATTGAAGTGATAATGCAAACTCTTTCTAGTGTGGTAGCTTAAATTTTACTCAAATTTATTTGATTTTCATATCATTAAATCTATAACTGTATTTAAAAATCATGGATATGGTAGGCCAGCTGCAAGTTTCTCTACAACCCTATGCATCTGAGTGGCTGAGCAGTGAAAAGTGTGGACAGGAGGAATAGTTTCTACCTCCTTGTGTGCCCTTCAGTCCTTTCACATGTCCCTGAACAAGGGTGGTTGCTACTTCACTGTGCAAGAAAATTATTAAATATGTGCAGCTGGATTTTTGTCTGTAGAAATTAAGTATTCCAGACAGTCATGCTATCATTGTATGCAAGTTGAAAATGGAAAATGTAGTTGAAGGAGTTTATCTGGAGAAACTAGGGAAATGGCTGGAAAAATTTAATTAATGATTACACAGAAATATTTTATCAGGAAATTCAAAATTTGGTCACCAAGAACATGACTGAGTGTAAACAGTTCTGAATAAAAAGACGGTCTTTGAGACACAATATAATATTCTCTGATGGTCAAGAGTGGAGAAGTGTCAAACATTTTTGTTTATTTGCTGGACTTCTCAGAGGAAAAACTTCCTATGTAGTTGAGAAGAAAACCAAAATATTTTTGTATTGATTTTTGTAGAGGCTTATTTCTATCATCACTCCTAAACATTTAATTTTGTGTTGTTCTAAAGATTTAATTTTGTGCTGTGTTGAAGTATTGAAGAACACATGTATTGGAAAGGTAGTACAACCCATTTCTTTGTGATACATCCTAAATTGAATAATAAAATGGTGTTTTCCTTCGATTTAAAAGGAAAAAGATATTAAAACATTACAAGGTGTAAAATGGAATGCATTCAATTATTAATATCCCTGAAAATCTTGGAAATGTGTAGTCTAACATGGGATCTATGATTCGTAAGAGGGAATGCAGAGAATACTGATCATTCTCAGTTGGTTTGTGTTCAAATGCAGTCCCCTTCCTGTTCTGTCAGTGAATTTCCTGTTGCCTCATCAATAGGACATATCAGTAAGTTTAAAAATGGACCTGATATCCCACTTTGGAGCCCAGGGTAGAGTAAGAGGTATTCTACTTTTTCCCGAGTAAGCTCTTTCATGCTATACCAGAAACACAGGTTACAGCCAGCTGATTTTGAGTACGAATGAAATGTCTGTGAGACAATACCACATCTTTTCAAGATGTCTGAGGAGAATATCTGGTATTTAAACCCTTATTTAATGGTCAGAGATCACGTTTACTTTATCAGCTAAAGGAGGCGAACTCTATGCAGATCTCTGGTTTCTGAGAATTCAAGCCAAGTATCTTTTAATAGATTCTTTTGGGGGGGGATTGTCACACTCACTTAGAAACAGTGAGTTGTTCAAGGGCTAGCTCTGGGCTAAACAGTATGTCTTCAAAGTAGATTTTGAAAAGGGCCTGATGTTACTTTACTTTCCTCTTAGTGAAGCTAAGTGGAAATTTTTGTGCTGACTTTTAAAGTTGAGTTTAGGAAAGGGTGATTACTTCTGTGCAACGAGGATTTTCTGTTTGAATTGTCAGAACAAACCATCAGTACTTGAAATGAATCTAGTCCAGGCTGACTTCACCAACTCCTTAAGAGCCTTTGAGGAGGCTGTAGTGAATGACATTAATTGATAAGAAATATTAGTGGGGCATTGATAAATACGGTCAGATTAAAACGATTCAAAAACTGAAAGTATTTGCAAAGGATCATCCATATCATGATGTGGTGATCGTACCAAGTCACCTGATACACCCTTATCTAGTGGTCTAGTCTAAATTGAGTGCATTTAGCAGTAGTTACCATGGGTAGTATCGGATATACTACAGCTGTTTATTTTTACAAAGGAGAACACGTCATGAAGAACAGTTAAATGCCACAGCTAAAATGTACATTTCTTCCAATTCAGTCATCAGCTAATATAAGCTTCTACGTACAATTTTTATCAAATAAATATATAAAATTTTGCCTTGTATTATTACTGACATGTGAGGGGAGGTTGGTGTCTTCTGTCTTGCTGATACTTAAAATTGGGACAAGTCTTCCAGCACAGGGTAATGCCAGGTTTTTCTCTTGTTTGAGTAGCACACTGGACTAGGTGAGGGACTGAGGTCCATTCCAACCTCACTTATTTCCAGAGTGTCTCTGATTTCAGTCATGCTGCGTATGGATTTATAAATTTTGATTGAACTGCATCAGAGGCCCTTCTGGTGATAGTTCAGACAGCAGAAGACTTTAAAGTAGATTTATTTTTACATGTTTATCAGCTGTATGAGAAGAACTTCTGTATCTGAATGATACTAAGCTTTCTGTTCTAAAGGTCAGGAATAATAAATACATCCTTTTGACTATTGACACTTGAAAAAAAACCTCCAAACATTTGGGTCTTCCTATG